GCGTATCAACCCAACCACACAGCTTGGTGTCATCAGCAAACTTGCTGAAGGTGCGCTCAATCCCACTGTCCATGCCACCAAGAGATGTTGAACAAATCGGTCCCAACACTGATCCCCGAGGGACACCACTCTTTACTGTTCTCCAGCTGGACATTGAGTCATTGACCACAACTCTTTGCGTACCGCCATCCAGCCAGTTCTTTATCCGCCAAGTGGTCCATCTATCAAATTGATGTCTCTCCAATTTAGAGACAAGGATGTCATGCGGGACATGCAGGACATATAGCATAGGATAGTATATTCTTTCAATTGTATTTCTATTGTTTCTCACTTTATATTAGTAGGAGAAATTAAATTCAGTTATGATCTACAGTCTCTAGAAGATCTCAGAAGCTTACTTTTCAGCACTAGAGGAATCATCAGAGAATTCAGTTTCTGCTAAGCTTTTTCTACTGTTGGTTGACCTCCATGTAGATGTTACAGGAAGTTCTTCAGAAGTCATAGGTCTTGGTCTCTGACCAATTCCTGAAGGCTGCTGCAAACCTGCACACTGTTCTTCAGTACTTAAAACAGCTACAATTGCTCTTACAGTTGTTTCATCAACTTGAGACCACGGTTTAGAAGGAGCTCGCATACGACGCAGAAATAAACTATGCCACTTCTGTCTCAGTTGCAACAGCAAACCAGCAGCCTGTAATGAATTTCAATTCTGTTAATAAGAATTAGATCAGACAGGTAAGAGTATCCTACATATCTTCTACCTGGCATTATCTGTTATTCTAAAATGAACAGTCTCTGAACTGAAAGGCAACACTAAAGTGCTAAAGAAGGGGAGAAAACCCCGCATTTAAACTAAACTATTATCTTTTCCTTCTTCAGGCCCAAGATAACTTGTAAATGTTTTATTTCATTTAACTCTGCACCAAACTTAAAATTATACTGTAAACCCTTTTTCACTTCAAAATTCTACCAAAAAAATAAAAAAAAAAAATCACACTTCTAAACACGTCTAGCAGAGACAGTTTTATTATTACATCTGAGAAGTCCAAGTATTTCATAACCTCTAAACTACTCTATCTCCTACCACAGTCACAGCTTCTCAACTGCCTGAAGACATCAAAGTGTTAGCTTTTCTTTTCTTTTCTTTTTTTTTTTTAAATCTGACAGCAGCTTTTTTTCAGCGACTCTACCTTCAAGATCTCTAACTTGTCATCCCCTTAGAGAAGGAAATATACAGTTGTCACTGTTCACTCAATTCCTGCTCACATTCTGGCTAACACAGCGCATGCTAAGGCTCAGTGTGTGCTGGGAGCAGTTCCATCATGTCAAGATGAGAGCAACACAGACGTAGGTCAGGTGGCCAGAAAGAGCTAAAGGCAGTTACTATTACTTCTAGCTTGCTGTCTCTTGCAGCCATTATCTCCAAATGACAGCTTCATCAGAATCTACTAATTTATGGAAATGGACCAAACATCTAAGCTGGAAGGTATAAAATATGAGCTTACACAAAAAGCTTTTGATGTGGATCCAGCAGCAGCTGGACTGCTGAGGCTTTCCTGCTTCCCACTGTGATACACGTGATGCCTGCACCCTGATGGAGTAAGGTAGACTAGTGTGGGCAAAGGGGATTTCTTCATGAGCTCATGAAATAAAGGCTAAGTCTCAGAGTATCTTATTCCATAAATAAAATGCATATTTCTGCTGGAACTAATATGAATATTTACCATATTAACAGTTTCCACATTATTATTCAGTTTGAACAATGTGGTTCAAAATATCAAATAAACTAGTCTGCAGAAAAACCCCATATATACTACACTTTTCAACATTACTTTTGTCATTAAACATTTTGTCTCCGTTTTTTTATTCCGCTACAAACTGTACTGTAATTTCAGAAACTCCACAGCCGTGTAAGTGTAATTTATGAATATGAATCTACAAGGATTCACAAAACTGAGACATCTATTACAGAACTTATAAACTATTCTTGCACAGCTACAGGTACTACAGCTCTGTCATTTTAAGAATTTGGTAATATATGTATTAAATATTCTTGAAAAATAAGCCTTCCATATCACATGCTAATATATAACAACTGAAACATTTCAAATCCAAACTCCATTATACCTTGAAAGGATGAAGGCTCCTGCAAAGCATTGCTTGGCAATCTAGCTGGTCCACAGAAGAGTGACACAGTGACAGGTGTTACAACAGAACAGCATCTGATATTTGCAATCCTATGAGCTCTCGTCATTTCATCAAATATAAGCCAGTCTGTAGGGAGTGCCTGAATGGCTGCAGCTTGCCCATTTGCAGGGGGAATCTGTGCAAGAGCAAATAAGGCTACATTATCATGCCATCTGTTTTCAATTAAAATAAAATTTAACATATTTCACATTTTATATACGTAGAAATAAATACGTATTTATATGCACGTAATCTCATACAAATTAAGTGAGGGAGAATTCAACCAGACTCACAAATTGCTCTTCCTCCTTGAAACAAAACATTTTGCTTAAAAAAAAAAGGATCTAAAATAGATCATTTTCAGAGGAGAACTTATTCCTGCTACTATGGAGCAAGGACTGTTTAACATCTTTAAAAGTTTTGCAATTATTTATTTTTTTTACTGTTCTCTCATTCCATCTAGAACAACAAAATACATTTTGATGAAATAATATTGAAAAATAAACCAACTTCAATTCTTTATTTTTCAACTGCCAGGAAGAAAAATTTTTAAAAATGCAGTGTTTAATGCACAAGCAGCTTTTAAAGTACTGACAATTATGACGAGACATTTCTAAAACGTTCAATAGAGAACAGTGTTCTTTTTTTATGGACTATAAATTCAAACTGATTTTACCTTTTTATACTGAGGCTGACTAAGAACAGATGTAGGATGAAATCGCACTTTCTTCTCCTTTGGTCCAGTCAAAACAAGGCTTTCTCTGTCTACATGAACTAGATTGGGATACATCCCAGCCACTAAGGCAGCTTTAACTACAGCCCAGTTTTCAGAGTTAGTATTAACATCTCTGATATCAGCTCCTCCCCTGGCTCTAACAAAACCTGAAGAAAGAATAAGATAAAAAATTGTCGTGTTTGCTTGCATTTAAGATCTTTCTTTTTTGCTTCTCAAAACGAATTTGATGTGAAGAAACTGAAACCAAAAAAAAACCCAAAACCCTTACAAATTTGCTGACTTAACAGCACCAAGAAGAAATCATTATACTGAAATCCTTTGTGATAAAGGATTTTATACTAACATAAAATACAACTACTTTTTACAACACAAAGACATTTCCTACAGAAATAATATACTAGAATGTAAAAATCCAAGGAAACATGTCACACTGAAAGCCAGTGGCATGTGGAACAATCAGAACACTTTCAATTAGATCAATTGGTCCCCAGCCACACTTCCTCACTCTAGCAATTGCATGAATATGTACTGGTCTGTTTCAAATTAGGGAAAGAAAATGACACCAATGAACACTATTCTTGTTACAATTTGTATACCCTTGTACTAGGTACACACTTGACTCCAAAACTATGTTGAATTTTTTTTTTTTAAACCCATTTACCTGAAGCTCTAAGCTGGCCAAGCAACTGACTTCTCATTCCTACAATGATTTCCATTGTGGCTTGAGACAAGAAGTTCTTTTCACAGAAGGCTCTCTCCCAGCCATCACTGCGCGCCTTCTGCCATGCCTGTAAAGAATATTTTACATTTGCCTATTAATTTCACCAGCTAAAAAAAGAAAAAAAAAAGAGAAATTTACATCAATAAAATGAAGATAAAACCAACCAGAAAGAAAGGAAGTTTACCAAACCTGAATGCTGAATTTTTGTTTTCTGGTTTAGTACTTTGTTCTCTTTACCCATTCCTCAAATTAACACAATGATCATTACGTTATTGTAAGATCATTATATTATTATCAAGATAATTATTTTAAGTTATCAGTCAATGTAGCAGGACATAAAGTGGCACCTTGTTGGAACATTTAGAATTTAACCAGGTTTGGAAATATAACAAAAAATCTGATAAAAAGTGTTCCCTCACTAATTTATGAGTCCAACATGTGGGAAAACCACTAGGCAAAAAGAGTTCCTTCTCTATGGAGTTAATCAGTCATACTACATGCAATTTGACTGGTACATCATTTACACAGATATGTGATCTACTGTGATTAATACTCTTTCTGAAAATGAAATAATACCTGGAAAGCCCTGAGAAGCGCCATATGGTCACTAAATGTTCCTGCAGTAAAACGTTTTCTACACAGCATGGCTGCACGCTTTTGAGAGGCCAGTGCGGGTAGGACAAAAGGGTCTCGATATGCAAGAGTGCAAGCAATAGTAAGAACAGGATCCAGGCACTTCAAAACAACAGCACATAACACCATTTTACCAAGGTGTGGCTCTACTGGTAATTCAGTGAGATGATAGCCAAGTTCAGTGAGATATTCCCAAGGGTCCATGGCATCTATTCTCTGTGTAATTATAAAAAAGGGGGGGTGGAGGTAAGTGGACAAAATTTACAATAAACACAAAGTATGTGGATACTGGACATTAACTAAGAAAGCAACTCAAACCTGTAACAGTTTGAGATGAGATTTTTGAGCATTCTCTTCCCTTAACATGGAGAAATACATCTACACACAAAATTAGACAACACAAAGACTCAAAGCATCCTTAAGTGTTTACACAACAGTCTCAGTACAAACAAAACTCAGTAAGATATGCTGCCACACCACAAATATAAAATCAAATACAATTCCCATCTAAAACTATTATTCAGCTGACCTTCAGTATTTGCACAGCATTTCTCACAATTAAAGCTGGTGGAGGATCAGGAGCTTTCATAAGAAAGTCAACAATTGGACAATTAATTGGAGCCAGAAGTTTTGTGTGTAAACAAAGCTCCTGCAAGTTAAAAGGCAAAAAAAGAATTAAGATGGGGCGAGAGAAAAAACCCAAACCAAATCAAACCAAAAACCACATACACACACAAAAAGACAAACACTTTTTCTGCTTTAATAGTATGGTTTGATGATAATACATTTTTAAAGTTATAATCTGTAACTGAACATGCACCTGAAGTGGCACTCTTAGAAGTTCTGGAGTCTGAAATTCCAACATACTCTGAAATCGAAGCCTGCTGAAGAGACGAAAACAGACTCCAGGCTGACAGCGCCCAGCCCTTGAAAATGAAATATAGGAAGTTGTTGAAAATCAGACATTCAAAAAACTCAAAAAACCCCCCAAAACACCACATAAATCCACAAACTTAGAATGCAAGTGTAGAAGCAAGTCTAAGAAACAGATAATTTTGTCATCAAGTGTTAAGTCCCACAAGGGAGGTGAGAGCTTTGTAGTACATGGATTATTTCCGATAGTATATTGAAATATATATACGTATCTCCATTAGAATTTTGCCCCAGTACTGAAAGATTTGGAGAAATTAAAGTAAGATCTATCTAAAAATAAAGTGATGTGGGGTTTTGATAACCTAAGATCAATCCAAATCTCAACTGCCCTTTGCTATAAGGAGTATAAATAATAAACTTAATTTCTTCCTCTTCACATGGCCCAAACAGTTCAAAGTTAAAGGCAGTAAAAGGAAGAATGAAGACCAAACAACTTGTGAGTGAAGGGACTGAGACAGCAAATTTTCTCATTCACACTCAAATTCCTGCAGGTTAATGCCAATATAGTATCACCAAATGTAGGCATTTGTTGGTACATAACCCCTCAGCCCTCACACAGTCTTGGGAAGGAATATGATAAAGGCCCGATAAACCATGAAGAGTTTGCAGAAGATGAATAAGGAATCAGTGCTCAAAGTCCCTAACATAGCAGTAAGGGACATCTATTAGACTATCAATAGGTAGCCTATTGCCCACAGGTGAATTATGAAAAACCTTATTGGACACTGCGGCTGAGGGTGCTACATGCTAGAAAGAGGAAGGAGAACAAGTTCATGCAATTTAGATCTAATGTAAACTTTGGGAAATTCTTGAGTGTCACTCTTCTACAATTTGGAAAATGACTCCAAGGAAACACATGCTGACCCTTCACTCTTCTGCAGAAAATCTGTATCGGCCATTATCCAACATAATACTGGACGAGGTTAACATTACCCAATTGCTATTACATTGTGTATTTTATTCTTAACATACAAGATGGTGGATATCTGCAAAATAAAATTCAGTATGAAGCATTTATTACCTGCCTTTTCTCTGGATAGCACTGGCCTTTGAAATCCACACCATTTTCAGCATTGTAACACAGCTCAGTGCATCAAAAGACTTCTATAAAAGCAACGCAAGGAACATAAAACCAAGACTGACTAGGGTACATGAAATACATTATCTGGATCATCAACAGAAGCTCTCTAAATAAAAAATACTAAGAACCATGAGCTTCTGGCACAAAGGTATGTTCTAAAGTACTTAACTTCAAGTGAATTTATGCTACCTCCTTTGCAGTATCTTCGTAGAAACTGCTACACAGTTTTCTAAATTAAAGATTTCTAGTCAATAGGCAACTGCAAGTCAACAAAAGACATGGGCTGTGTTTTGTGGTATCACAAACAAAGCAAAACCATGGTATCATATTAAATAAAGTTTTCCTCTTTGTCTGACTTGAAAATTACACCCTTATTTTCCTACATTTGATGTAAAATTACAAAAAAAAAAAGAAATTGTATTACCAATGAGAACTTCAGATATCTGGTTTGAGTGTCTCCTAGGAAATCTGGTTTTATTGCCTAACTCATATAAAAGGTCTTAAACTGCCTCACTATGCTACTTCATTTTTCTTGAACAATTAATTAGGGAATAGGCAGTCAACATATCAAAAACAGTGCTTAAAAACCATGGATTAGATTTGGGCTAGATACAGTTACAGCACAAAGGGAAGTCCTAGTGTTCTCCAAGTCTCAGGAAGATGGTGGTCTACACTGACGGACTTGTTATAGAAAAAAAAATAAAAAAAATACTATATTCATATATCTATATATAAAAACATGTAGATATATCAACCTGCAATAGCTTTTACAGGGGTTTTAAACAGCTAGCTATTCACAGCACTGATAGTAAAACAAATGGATGTCAAAACCTCAGTGAGTTTTGTCATCTGACATGCACTACCTCTCAGCCTACTATGCTCCCCAAAACTTATGTATTATGAACACTAGGATATATACTTCCCAAAATAAGCTTAAGTGAATCATACCTCTTTCACTTTCCCCGAGTCAATAACAAATACAACATCATTGACTGTTATGCTGGTTTCTGCAATATTAGTGGAAAGAATCTGCAATTAAAAAAAAAAGCCTATAGTAGCTGTAATAACTGTAAAAGCAATGACAAAATAGATCAACATAGTATCTCACAAAGTCCTCAGATACTTGCTATTTTGCGGATGCCAGAAGGTGGACTTTTAAGCACCTTCTTCTGATCCAAAGTCTGCATATTTGAATGAAGCATGAAAACTTGGTATCTAATGCAAGACAAAAAACACATTTTAAGGATTTTTTAAAGAAACAGTATAAACTCAAGACAACCATAAAATCAGAGGTTCTACCTGTGAGCATTATCAGCAAACCTCTTGTCATCAAAAAGAATACGGTCCCTCAGGCTAACTATCTCATCGTATCCCGGAAGAAATATTAAAATCGCTCCTAAAAAAGAAGTTGGTTTGCAGAGTTAATATATGTCAGCACTACGTATACTAAGCACTTGGAAGGTTTTACCTATTTGGAATCATTGAAAAAAAGAGTACAATTCATCAGAAACTGAATCCACAGTGATTATACACTGGTGATTACTGGGAGCGTGTGTATATACGTACCAGCATCACAACTACTACAGATGTTATGAAGTAAGTGCATAATCAGGTCCAGATCCACCTTTTCATCATCAAAACTGTGATGATAAGCTTTCAACAGTTCTCTGTCCTCTGCATCCAGGTCACTACCACTTGTTTGGACCAGGGAACTTTCATCCAGATTTCCAGATTCCACTGAAGCACTAAAATACATAAATACATAGGCCAGAGTCAAGGTTGTTTGCTTCAGGTTTGCATTCACTCATCAACTCGAATTTAGATCAACAAGACTATTCATCTTGAATTTTAAAGTGTAGGAGAACAGCATCTCCACAAAACTATTACCATTCACTGACTTAAGTGTTAACTTAGCAAAGCATGCAACTTCAATTTTTAGTGTTAACTTTATTATACTTTATTGAGACCCAACCATAAGCAAATGTGACAGAACTCAAGGTAGAAAGACAGCATCTGTTAAGGGAAAACTATTTAAAAGAAATGCATTTTCCAAAAACTTCACTAGCATAACAGTTGAGGTATTACACTAACATAAACCATAAACTACACTAGGAGAAATAATAACACAGGGCTCTACACAGTGAAACTACTGTATCTGTAAATTAACCGAAAAACAGTTCTTGAATGGCCATGTTACTCATATAAAGTTTCTTTAATACGCTATCATGTTCCAACAATACCCAAGAGATTTGTTTCCAGAATAAGCATCTGAAATTAAAATGGTGCATGGTATAAAATGGCCATGTCCTCTGTATATTTATTTCAGTTACTATAATCACACCCTGCCTAGATATATAATAATGATGGGAATATCCATATTAAGGTGATAAGTGCGAATATTATCAAAGAAATTCTACACCACTAGAAATATATTTACCCAAGGAGTCATGCAAACATAATCACTGTGATACTGAATACAAACTTTTTCTTCCATAAATATATTTTTGAAATATTCCTATTCTCAAATGGATCTTGCTATTTAGGCCAGATTCTAAAGTATAAAAAGATAAAATCTCTTCTGACTGAACGATGATAAAAGCTAATCTAAGAGCATTAAACCTTGTATTTTTTCAGCAGCTTCTGAAAATTAGTTATAGCTTACCAGTAGGACTCTAAAAGGTCAACAACTTCAGTCTGCCCAAAGCGTTTAGCCCAGTCCAACGCCACCCTGAAAAGAGTTACATAAAAATCTGTATTAATTTCTCACTTCATAAGATGCGTATGAATAGCATGTTACATGAGGAGACAACTGACTCTGCACTTCTCTATCAGTTTCCGCATTAATGTTTAATCAGTGTTGTTATTGCTGGATCTGCAAATTCCCATTTTAAAGTGCATGTAGTAACAATAGGATTTCAGGTAACCACAAAAAGAAAATCCCAGTTTTATACAGAAGTATCCTCAAACATGCAGAAAGAAATGAGGAGGAAGAGTGTGCCTTTCCTTCAAAAAACACACACCAATGTGACAGGATGAGCCATGCCTTTTTGCAGTACCCTTTACTAGCTCCTTTAAATCAACCTGAAAAGTCACATCCCCTACCTTTCTCTCAAAAAGGCATGAAAACATTAGGCTTTTTCGTGTCTTAGAGTTGTCCCCCACACAATGCAGTTCACTCTGTTTTCCTTTTAAATTACATTCTTCAGGAAATTTTTCACATATCATACCTCTGGAATCCTAATTCTTATCTTTCCATACTACAATTATTTAGTATAGTTCTCCTTTTATATGAAGACACAAAAATCTGAATTTTTACACATTCACACATATTTTTTGCATGATACAACATATTTACAGATATAACAAAGATTGTTGCACATGTATTACATTATTTTTAAATCCAATATAGGTTACTCTCAAACTAAAATTGCCAGACATTTTAGATCTAATTTAATCAATACAGTGAGAAAGATTCCAATTCTTCTTCAAACCAGTGCATCAAATCAGACTCACTGAAACCAAGACAGTATATCCCATATCGAGACTGTTTCATTAAGAACTGAATTTAGCATTTATGGAAAATAATGTGATAAACAGAAGTCAGAAATTGTTTAAGTTGTCAAAATATATTAGCGCTTATAACAGTCAGATAAATTAGCTTAGATGTTATAGAAAGTTGTTTCTCCTTTGTATCTTGACAAATAAATCTTTCAGTTTATCTGTTTGTTTTACCAGCCATTGGATGATTTGCAGTGGATACTTGCTCCCATACTTATCAGTTGTTCTACTTGACTCAGAAAGCCTCTCCCTGAGGCAATCATTAGCGCAGTTGCACTGGTTTCACTGTGCCTATAATCAACTGAGAAGTACAACAAACATCAGCAAACCTAATACAAACATTTTTTTCAGCAAAAGGTAGTATAAAAATTACTTTCAAAATCCACCCCGAAGAAAATGTTTCCTGACTTTATCCCACTAGTCAGTTCATGTGAATTTTAACACTATTTCAGAAACATGTCAATACTTCAAAACAAGTATCTACAAACCTCGTTAATTTTGCTAACCCTATTTTTTTCAATACACACCAGAATTCAAAAGATAATGTTTGAAACTGGAGACAGAGTAGCCACAGAAATAAAAAACATTTTGTGGTGTGGCGTTTGTTTTTTTTTTTAATGCAGTAAGATGAAAAACTTACCACTGACATTTTCAGTTAAAATGAGGTGGAACACCTGAGCAAAGGAATCAACATCTTTATTCAACCAGATATCAGAAAGACAAGAATCCATTTCTTTTATTAGCCATGGCTCAAGGCAATTCACATCTTTCTCAGCCTGAAGAGAAAAAGCTACATTGAAAGATGACTCTCCTCCAAGAGCGGTCTTTATCCTCATATATTAGACACAAAGAATTTGAACAGTGAGTTTTCGAAGTAACAATCAGGAATACAGCATTCAAATAGTGAAAGCATTTATTGTATCATATGCAAGTACCTTAAACAATGGCAGTCTAGCCACTTGATCTGAACAAAAGCTATGTACAACCATCATAACTGAAAAGCTAGGATCATTCACGCTGATAAAAAAAAATTAAAAAATGTTAATATCATTCTAGACACACAAAAGGAGTAACACCTTTAGAAAAGAGTTTTTACATGGGTAGTAATAATACAATGCAGATTTAAACACCTCTTCCAACAAAAGCAAAAACTTACCAGTTGATTAAATACTGTGTCACCACCATCATCCAACAGATTATACTCCTCAGTTGCACTTGGGACAGATCTTTGTCTTTGAGATTCCACTTTGCTATTATTTTCCTGAGCAGAGCACCACTCAGTAAGACTGCTTTGCTGTTTCTCCTCTAGAATGCATAAAGTTTTGTTGTTTGGTTTTGGTTTTTGTTTTTTTTAAGCTTTAGTCATTTTTATTATTGTTTTCAGTTACAAAAAACACTTCTATCAAGTCACAAAGTTACCTATTCAATCTCCTTTTATTTAATCTAGAATTTTGTTATCAGTCTAATATTCCATGATTAAGGGCACCTGAAGCACACCACTGCAAACATCTGCTATAAGAACAGTGCAAAAAAACACTATTTGGGTGCTTAACTCTCCAGTATTCCAATGTAGTGCATTCAAACGAGCTTCCTGAGTAAGAATCTTCTATGCCATGCTCAGTTCAGATCTTTCTCCAGAAGTGAAATACCAAAGAGAAGTGATACAGCTCCTGCATGAAACAACTAACTTTTGTGTACAAGCAGAAAAAACAGTAGAAGGCATCAGTGTGCCTTGGCTGAATTCTTTCATACACAGTGATCAGAGTTAAGCACCACGATAAACATACAGTTAGTACTAGATGGTACAGATTTTGGGTTTCCCCACACTTTTTTTTGTTTGAATACAGACTACAATCATTACTTTCAGTTGTCAGGAAAATGTCTCAAATAATATATATACACTTAACCAACTGCAAACCAACTACATTAAATTCACATGTGTTAATGCTTCTGGGGATACATATTGAATACATCCATGTCTCAAGAATGCAATGAAAACATTCCCAATGAGAACCACATCTGTGCAAGATGTACAAAATCATGCTTTCTTTAATGGCTGCACTTCAATTTTCACCCAAAAGTCAGCACATAGTATCTTCTGCCTCTACAGTTTTCATCTGGGCAAAGTCCCCAGTTATACGCAATTCAACTCCTTAATAATGAAGAAAAATTTAACAGTTATCAACTGAAAGCAAATAGAATGTAACCACTGAAAGTGAAAAAATTTCTTTTTGAAGTTGCATAATCTACTTCAATAATGTAGACACTGGGAACTTAAAGATACTTGCTGCCATCTAACCATGTGTCATTTAATATTTTGACCGTGGAAATTTTAACAGAGAATAATTCTATTTATTTGTTCAATCAGTGAGACTCAGTGCCAAACCTAATAATTAAGAAGTCCACCAACCTCGCTGCTTCTCTTTTTTGTACTTTACCATCTCTTTGTTTGTATACCCAGTGCTTCGTAAAATGTCCTCCAAAAACATCTCTTTAACTTCAAAAGGTCTTCCTTGTACTGAAAGTATAAATAATTCATACAGTATTAATAAACGTAAGACTATCTTCACTGGAGTTTATTTTCTTAAAATTCTGGGCCACAAAACAAAACAACATTTTAAAAGGGAAACATCAGCTGCACACTTTGTTTATCACTGATCTCTTCAATTCTATTAAGTGTTATAGCAAGAAATGCGCATAAGATTGACAGTTATTAATTGAAATTTTATCAAAATAAGAAAATAACCATTTTTGTTTAGGGTTACAAAAAAAGAATTCACTGGGTAAAACTGCCACCTGGATTACTAAATCTAACAATAATTAATACAGCTTTAGTGTAAGATCCCACAGGCAGATTGGCACCTTTGTACTAAACTACTTTATTTCATGAGGAGTGTATGAGATGGGACTTCTCTCAGTTTCCTTAATCACCTCAGCCAAATGTGGTGTTCTTGACCAAATACTTCCTGATGAATGAGACATACCAGTTGTGTTTATCTTCTAATAATTCACCCTGATTTCTTTTTCAATATCACTGCTTTCTAGAGCTTATTTAAGGACATTAAAGAATTCTTTTTTACAGGAAGAATTAAAATCCCTAGATTCTGATTTGTTGTCTGTTAACAAACATTTGCCATAGCTGAGTTTAAAACACCCAGGACTTCTTTTTTTTCATAAACACCAAGCTACAGTTCACATACTTTTAGAAGCTGTCAGAGAGGAAGTCTTCCAACACTGATCACAAACTCTGTGTACCACAGGAACCCACAACTACAAAATGCTGTTTTCTGTGGTCAGGATTTTGTCAGCTGTATTGCTGAAGGAGGATCAAATCTTTTTCATTACATTAACAAAGTACCTAAACCCTCTTCTAATTCTTAACTCTCAAGATTGGAAAAGGGAAAGTATCTTTTCAGTTGTGATTAGCCTGCGAAGACTAGTATGTGATAAAGCCTGCGAAGACTAGTATGTGATAACAATATAACCACTCAGGTAAACTGGAGAGATTGCCATCAGATATTTCCTAAATAAACATATGAACAAATGAACAGGAAGCTACAAAAAGAGTAAACTGGAAAGCCACACAACAATTTTAACTGAGATTTCCCTTCTCTAAAGAAAAAAATTGGAAAACACTGAAATTGTGTAATTTCTGGTTTATTCATCAACAGTCTACAAGCCTTATTTTACTAGGCAGAAATTCAGAACTGGGAACTAGAAATAAACACTTCAATCTTCAAAAAAACCCACCAGACTTCTTTTTCAGGAACATTCACTAAAATAAACAGACTGTTTGTAGAGAAGATTCTAAAGAAAGTGATCCTATCCATGTCCTGAGCCTGTTGAACTTCTTAAAAAAGGCTGACATGCAGAAAACCTTCTTCTCAAAACAGTTACACTTTGACATCATTGTTAAAAGAGGACTGCAAGGTGTCAGAGAAGGTCAACCATGCAGAAAATTTGTAAGCCAGGAGGGTGAAGAGGAATAAAAAAAGGGAACATAAATCTATGTTCCCTTACTCAGATTGGTTTACTACAGTTTAGTAAGATCTCTAAGTCCTAGGGCAGGTATATTCAGATTTAAGAGTTTACATAAATACTTACTGTGTATTACTGGGCAACTTCCAAAATACCTAATAAAGAGATTTGCATCTAGAGCAGCACTAGAAATAATTAGTTTTAAATTAGTGTGCTTTTGCAACACATCTCTCAGTTTTATTAACAAGAAGTCACTGAACCTATCCCTCTCATGTACTTCATCCTATAACAAAAGGGGAAAATAAAACAGAAAACAAAAAACAAATAACAGGTAAACATCACAGATCCAAAATAATAACTTTTTAGAAACATGAACTTTTAAAAAAAACTAAAATACGTAATTTGCCAGCACATTATAGATGCATTAAAATGTGTACGTCTAGTTTAAGTGAGTTTTTTTTTAAAAACTATCCAGAAGTAAAAAAATATTCCAAGAGGTTTTATAAAGACACCAGAGCAGACTGCACTGGTAATGCACAAGCCACACATACCTTGATTTCAGAGGTGAAAGCGAATTTCTGAAATTTTTCGAATTCTTATATTTTAATTTCATTTTCGAGATAATAATACAAACCCAAATCCTGCACATCTTATTAAAATAAATTCTTGCTTCATAATTGATGAACAGTTAAACAAATGTATGATACCACATAATCAGAAAAAAGGTAAATTGCTTCAATCCATTAAGTCATGCACAATGCTTATCATCAATTAAGGCACATGACTGATTAATCACCTTTGCTGGTGTGCTGTTTTGGTTTATATTATGAACTTACAAAGCAGGATACAAGCACAACATTTTAGGCTGAAGCCAATAATGTATATATCATTCTTATACTTTTTTCCATTTAGTTTAACAGACAAGCACTTAAAATTATGAATTTTTCTATCTTCAGCAGGGAAGAACTTGTGGTAAACGTCCTGGTTCCACTGATCTATCAAACTCCACAATAGAAATATTTACATACATATATGTAAACAAATGCACTTAAATAATTTGCTCAAAATTAGATGACTCATTATCTTAAAAACATTTGCACAAACAGACTGCAAACCTGATATTGCTAAAAAAAGTACACGATACAAGAAATTCTCACAAACTTATCTACATTAGCCTCCCTAGGCCTTTTCTGCTTTCTGACAGAGGCAGTTCAGAAAAAAAAACTTAAAGAGCTCTGTCCTCCAAAACTGCATCATGATTCCAAAATTAAATATTGTCATGGACTTAAAGTACTTTTACCCCCCCAAAAAAATTTAAAACATCAAAAGTCTACATGCTACAATAAAGATTCAGTAAGGCTCCAATGTTAATTCTGATTGTAAATAAACAAAACCACCTTATATGCTCAGCAAATTAATAAAGAAAACTAAGATCTCACCTTCCAACTAACAACACATACTGCAAGAGCTCACATGAATACAACAGGATTCTTACCACAATAACATGTGTCACAGTTGATAGAGTGCTGTCTCCTGCCATCAGGGTGCGAAGTAGTACGCCATTAGTGCAAAACGTTAACAGTGTCTTTGGAGAAACCCTATTGAACAGTTCAAAAAGATTCTTCAGTTTCCTGCACCATACAAATGTGGTTAGCTTTCCACCACTTACTGAAAATTAAAGTATTTAATAGCTGCTCACCAGAAGCAGAATCACAGTTCTCTCACCAAAGAATCCTTGCACATTATTTCTTTTAAACTATGCCTATTCCCAGAGAGCGCCTAAGCAACCTTGGTGCTTATGCTCCAAAACTTCAGAAAACAGATTTACTAACAAAGTGAGATGTAAATTTATATAAACAAATAAGCAAGTGAAACAGAACCTTGAGAACCTCTGCATGTTAATTTACTGGAAAATTCAGTATGGACTGCATTGGAGAAACAGATTCCAGTTACTTCAGCATATGCTTGGATACAGTCTTTTATTTCCCTCTGTGTGGTGGGTTGACCCTGGCTGTACACCAGGAGCCCACCAAACCTGCTCTATCACTCCCCCTCCTCAACTAGACAGAGGAGAGAAAATACCAAGAAAGGCCTGTGAGTCAAGATAAGGACAGGGAGAGATCATTCATCAGTTACCATCATGCGCAAAACAGACCTTACCTGGGGAAATCAGTTTAATTATTACCAACTGAATCACAGTAGCATAATGAAAAGTAAAACCAAGTATTTCCCCCACCCCTACTGTCTTCCTGGGCTTTACTCGCAGATTCTCTATCTCCTCCCGTGCAGTGGCACAGGGGGACACAGAATGGGGCCTGCAGCCAGCTCATCACACATTGTCTCATCCCCCTGAGAGTCCTCCTCAGGGAGAGGACTCTCTCCTGGTTTCCAGCTGTGATAGAGTTACTTCTCCTTCTAGTAGCTGGCACATTGCTTCATTCTGTAGCTGGCACATTGGCTTCAATCTGAGAACAATGCCAATAACACACTGATGTTTTTTTAGTTGCTGCTCAATAGCATCTACCTCGATCAAGGATTTTTCAGTCTCCCACGCTCTGCCAGTGAGGAGGGGCACAGGAAGCCAGGAGAAAGCAGATACAGGACCCCTGACACAAACGAGCCAAAGGCGTATTCCTTACCACAGCACATCATGCCAGCAGGGACGGATCGCTGCTTGGGTTGGGCTGGGTATCAGTCAGTGGGTACTAAGCAGTTGTACTGTGCATCACTTGTTTTTCCTGAATTTTATTCTTAGTCTCTTTTTTTGCTCCCTATTATTATTGTTAATTATTGTATTTACTTTGCTTCAATCAATAAACAGTTTTTATCTCAACCCTCAGGTTTTACCTTCTCCTGATTCTTCTCCCCACCCCACCTGGTGTGGGATCAGTGGAGTAAGTGAGTGACTGCTTGGTATTTAGTTGCCACCTGGGATTAAACCACAACGACTCCTCACACTCTTCCCCTGCTCCAGCATGGGGTCCCTCCCACACAAGACAGTCCTCTATGAACTTCTCCAACATGAGGACCTTCAAGGTGCTGCAGTTCTTCAGCAACTGCTCCAACATGGGTCCCTGCAGGATCACAAGTCCTGCAGCAAACCTCTCTAGTGCAGGCTCCTCTTTCCATGGTGCCACAGGTCCCACCAGGACCTTGCTCCAGCAGAGGCTTCCTGTGGGATAACAGCCTCCTTCAGGCATCCCCCTGCTCCAGTGTGGGGTCCTCCATGGGCTGTAAGTGGAATCTGCTCCACCATGGACCTTCCTGGGCTACAGGGGCACAACCTACCTCACCATGGGCTGCACCATTGGCTGCAGTGGAACCTCTGCTCTGGTTCCTGCAGCACCTCCTTCACTCCTGCACTGATCTGGGTGTCTGCAGGGCTGTTTCTGCCATGTGCTCTCACTCTTCTCTCCAGCTGTAATTGCACAGTTTGGTTGGGTTTTTTTACGGTGCGTTTCATCCCCCCCCCCCTTCTCAAATACATTATCCCAGAAGTGCCACCACTGTCACTGACAGGCTTGTCTTTGCCCAACAATGGGTCCTCCTTGGAGCCAGCTGGCATTGGTTCAGTTGGACATGGAAGAAACTTCTAGCAGCTTCTCACAGGTAGACAGACCCCTTCTACCAAAACCTTGCCACGCAATCCCAATACACTGCACATGACTGAATCACAAAGAAATCAGCTGATCCTTTTCAAATGCTTTTTCAAGAATTTCAAATTCTTAAAAAGTGACTATTCTAGTACCTGTGGCAGAGTTAGCTAGTAAAACTAGCAATCGCCATTACCTTCTCCAGCACTGCCATCTTAAGTACCAAGAAGTTGCTCTGTATTGTACTCTACAGTTCTTTCCCTGAAGATGTGAGTTCCTAGTCATTATATGCGTATTTGTTTCCAAGTTTGGAATTCATCCCTCCTTTGCTTTACCCATTTCTACTCTTCTTCAGTAGCCTTCTAGAAATCATCACTGTAAATACCTCCAGCCCACATCTTTTTTGCTGAAAGTTGAAAATATTGTCATATCTCCTTTTTGATCTTTCTCCTGAGTTTAATCTGTTGATTCTTCTTAAGCAGGATTTTCTGCACTGCTTCCAGTAATTCTTCCATTTTAATTTGTTCTGCTTCAGCCAGCATCATACTTCCACATATTAACCATTATTTGCAATTCATCTTTACTAGTTCTTTTAATCCCTTAATAGCCTTGTAAGCTTTTGACACGTATTCAAATTCTTCCTTAACTTGGTTTTATTGTTCGAGTGCACTAATTTTCATTAGCTACGTGGTATCTTCATCCATACAAGCAACAGCTATACCTTTTGCCATCTTCTCACTCACAGATCAACTGCTGCTCATTCCTGGAAATCCCGCTACCTTCACAGTTCACAGAATGTAGAAACTGCACACAACCCTCAGACTTTCATCAATTCCTTCTCTCCTTTAGGAAGAAATTCCTTAGGTGACTTAGAAATCTCTACTTTTGTGTCACTTCATGCTTTAAACATCAAAGATGAAACAGAGTAAAACTTACCCAAACTATACTGGTAAATAATGCTCAATATTAAAACGTTGCTTTTTTTCCTTTTTACGTCCGCTATGAACTTTCACTACACAGCAATCATTATAGCACAGAGGTCTTCCTATCTATTGTTAAACCTGCAGAACCTGTGTATCAATATCTGTTAAGTTGGCAGAAAAAGAGAGGAAAGTGTAGACTTGATCTGAAAATAAGACAAGGAATTCCATGAATTCCACACAACACCCAAAAAGAAATCAAGACAAAGCACCTGCAATTCACTTAAAGACAACTGACTACAAGAACTTGCAAAATACAAGACAAACACTGTCCTTCTCACTCTTAAATATTCAATGACCTGAAATAACATAACCTACCTGTATTTGCTATGCTGTATCCCAAATACATTGTGGTTTAAATGTACACAAGACTAAAGATACCAACATAAGATCAATTGACTTTAAGAAGTAGTACCTGCTTTCTAATCGGATCTGATAACCAATTGTCTGGCCAATCTTTTCTCTTCTTTCTGCTGCCACTCTTTCAGCCACAGCAACTGCTGCCAAGCGTCTTGGCTGAGTGCAAAATATACGGCAAGGAGTTCCAGTTTTGTAACAGTCATCAAGAAGGAACTGAGGTATCTGTAAAGAAGTGGTTTAAATTTACTTTTTAGTTTGATAAAGTCAGCTTGTTTACCACAGTGAAACAATTGAACTGCATCTCAATATTACACAGGTAGCAAAAGAATTCACTATAGAATTATCATTGCAATTGTACATGAAAATAAATTTCTGATTTTAAGTTTAATCTGTTAAAAAGTTACAAAAGTTGTATAAAAGCTTTCCTCTCCTGCTTCAGAAAAATCTATTAAAAAAAAAAAAAGGTTTTAACACAACAGTATTCTACTCTAGACATTAAGAGCAGAAATAGCTTTGGAAGGAAAAGGGCTAAGGAAAGAAAAAGGCTAAGGAAAATCATAGCTACCTTTCTTTCAATATTTTACACTATTTTAATGAGAACCTAGTATTTATCAGAAAATTGTGCAGAACTATTATGCTTTTAGTACACATCTGCTGGCATAGTATTTCAAAAGCAAGAAAATGAATTAGAACACAAGACTTTCAACTACACAGCAAAACTAGCATAAAGAAATCCTGTATTACAGAATTATAAAATTTGCATTAGTTTTATATAAATAATGTTATCTTTGTTACTTCATTAAAGAAACATACTTGAGTAGTTTTTCCTGATCCAGTCTCTCCTACAATCAAAACAACTTTATTGTCCTTTATTATTTTGACAATTTCTTCCTGTTTTTCAAAAACTGGTAGGGATTGCCTGAAGGAATCAAACTCCGATTCCCCTCTTTTCAGTGGAACCTGGGGTATACCATTGTTAAGTCGTCCACTTGTCTTGTTCACTTCTCTGTTTTCTGTAAGAGAAGTTATCAATTTACTTAGATACAAAAGGTCACTTAAAAAAACTGTTTTCAAACAGTACATAAAATGAATATTCCTAATTTTATATGCACCCCTACCGATGAAGTGACAAACCCATCACACATTTAAAAGCCATATTCATAACAACACATTCTGTTACAATGTTTGAAATAAATATTGTTCAAATGAGTTTTTACTTTCATAGATATTTTAAACAAAACCAGACTATCCCAGTGAATTGCTCAAAGTCAAAAAAGGTCATGAAAAGCAAAAACAGAAATAGAAACTAAACCTAAGAAAAGCAGCCTGGCATATTTTCCTGGACTTTTATCAAGTTTACATATTCACACCTCCATATTGATATTGTGTCCAGAAATACTGACAGTACAGTTAAGCCCCTAAATTATTCCAAACTGACAAGCACATCTTCTTAGAAAAAGAAAACTCCTTTTTCATATGCCTTCTTTCATATCCTCCCTGGTCTTTTATGACCTCCTTTCAGTCAGTTTTACAAAACCTATTGCTCTAGTCCATGAGATTTGTCTTACCATACAGACTGAACCATGCTGTACTTAAACCACTGAACCCATGCAGCACACTGTCAGGTATTAAAAAGCAATGTTTAAGTAGCCAAAGCACCCACATACCTTTGTAGAAGACTACTTCAAACTCAGTACCGCAAATGCCATTCTATAATTCTTCAATAATTATTTTTCCAGAAGAATGAAGAGCTTGTTGTAACTTCAATTATACATATTTAATGGGATTAACAGATTAATTTATTAAATTTTAAACACTGTCTTCTCAAGACAGACACAGGACAACAGATGAAAGAGCCAAAAACCACTCTGGAGAAGCAAGATAAATTTTACGGTATTCACCATCTTATGCCTTACATCCCTAAGGAATTGCTTTTATTATAGTTTCACTCTGTTCATTAAACGATCCTATTAAACAACTGAAACAACTGAAAAAGAAAACTAGAAAAGGAAGTGCTTAAAGCATGAAATGCTGTTAGTCAGAAATATACAATGGAACAAAGCATACTGGTACAAGTGCTTTGCGTGCACTACACCCAGCTTTGCACACAGAAACACAACATAACTCTTAGACTCATAACTGTTAAAGCAATAATCTTGTTAAAAGCATTGTTTAAAAAAAACCGCATACTATATCAGAAGTTTGCCTTCCACTGAATTCTTTCAATCTGTAGAAATCAAGAAGTCTATATAGCAGTTTCAGAGGGACCAAATCTATTTTAGAAAATGACAAAAATAACCCCAACTTATTCTGGGAGACCATTAATTTCTTTAAGAACAGCCAGACTCATTTTCTCGTAAGGGTTTTCTTACAGTCATGGTTACACTTCTTTTTCCCCATCTCACCTCATGGAACTTGTAGGACCTCACATTTCAGAAATGTACTTCCAAATAAATTTGCCTGGAACTGGAATAAAGATTCAAAAGTAACTTTGCACAGAGGAGAAATGGGAACGTGGATGACATGACTGCTTAAGTTCCTCATGACACCACTTTTAAAAGACCCTATATTAACAACTGAAAGTCAAGAAAATTAATGGGTCTGTGGTGGGGGAGGGTGTCACTTGGAATGGTAGAGACAGGAAAGAAAGGGGTTTGTTTTGTGGTTGGGTTGTGAGTTGCTGGATTTTTTTTATGCAGTGCTGATTCACAAGTGCGTATCAGAAGACACACTGAACGTACCAGATTCAACAGCACACACACTTCCTCGCTCTGTCTTTGGCAGAAGTTCTGTTCGCTCTTTATTTGTTACAGGAAATCTCTGAATTAAATTCTGAACAGCATGTTTTGTACTGGGAGCCAAGACACAAGTCATTATTGCATGTGTTAGTTCTGAGCCATCCTTCTTCTTCACAGTCAGGTATCGATTTGCTCCTTTTCTAGCAGGGGAGAAAAAGAAAACAAAAGATACTTTCAGAATATGCAACCTATTTAGATCTATTTAATGATCTTCAGCTGTAATTCTTTCAGTCCCAAGCACAAATACAGGCTGGGCAGAGACCAGTTTGAGAGCAGCCCTGAGGAGGACTTGGAGGTATTGGCTGACAAGAAGCTCAGTATGAGCCAGCTTTGATGTGCGCTCACAGCCCAGAAACCAACTGTATGCTGGGCTGCATCAAAAGCAGCGTGACCAGCTGTCCTGGTTTCAGCAGTAGCAGTCATTTTTCTACTTCTTAGTAGCTGGTGCAGTGCTGTGTTTTGACTTTCGGCCTGGGAACAGCCCTGGTAACACCGATGTTTTTAGCTGCTGCTCAGTAAAGTTTACTCTGACCAAGGACTTTCTGAGCCTCATGCTCTGCCAGGGAGGAGGGGAAACCAGGAGGAAGCAGAGACAGGACACCTCATCCAAACTAGCGAAAGAGGTATTCCATACCACAGCATGTCATACGCAGTCTATAAACTGGGGGCAGTTACCTGGAAGGGATAGACAGTTGCTCAGGTCGGGTTGGGTATCAGTCCGCAAGTGGTGAGCGGTTGTATTCTCTTCCCTTATTACTTCCCTTATCATTATTACTATTGGTGGTAGCAGTGGTGGCTTTGTGTTATACCTTATTTACTAGACTGTTCTTATCTCAACCCGTGGGAGTTACATTCTTTTGATTCTCCTCCCCACCCCTCTGGGAGCTGGTGGGTGGAGGGAGGGAAGTGAGAAAGGGGGTGTGGGGCTGAGTCTAAACTACAACACCAGCAGCTCGAGGGAGGGGATTCTCCCCCTCCACTGCAATCCCATGAGACCCCACCTGCAGTTCTGCATACAGTTCTGGGGCCCTCACACCATGAGGGACATGGACCTGCTTGAGTCCAGAGGAGGCCATGGAGACGCTGTGAAGGCTGTAGCACTTCTGCTATGGAGACAGGCTGAGAGAGCTGGGCTTGCTCAGCCTGGAGAAGAGAAGGTCTCTGGAGAGACTTTACAAGAGTCTTTCAGTACCTAAAGGGGCCTACAAGAAATCTGGAGAAGGACTTTTTACAATGGCATGTAGTGCCAGGACAAGGGGGAATGCATTTAGGCTGACAGAGGGTAGATTTAGATTAGATATAGGGAAGAAATCCTTCACTATGAGGGTGGTGAGACGCTGGCAAAGGCTGTGCAGAGAAGCTGTGATGCCCCATCCTTGAAAGTGTTCAAGACTGGGCTTAGCGCAACCGTGTCTAGAGGAAGGTGTCCCTACCCACAGCAGATGGGTTGGAACCAGATGATCTTTAAGGTCCCTTCCAACCCAAACCATTCTATGATTCTTTCAAGACTGCTGCCAAATTATTTTCACATACAATGTTGTATCTAGACACTTCCAAATAATGTCCTATGTAGCATAACACACACAAAAATAACAGAAGCATCCACAATATCCCCCATAAAAAACACCCTCCACTCACACAAGGTAGTACAGCACAGACACTGTAGACTTCAGATGACTACACCCAGCATAATCCTATGATGAGAGCTTCATAACGTAACATTGTTCTGCTTACCTTTCTGTAAAAGCCTATCACTATGTTATGTCTATCAACAAATGGACATAAAAGACAGGCAGCCTTGCAGTGATATGCCAAGCCTTAACGAAATTCAGTAAAACAAATTAGACTCCTGGGGTGTTAATTATCAAAGATGTACAACATAGAACTAGAGCCAAAGTCCAAACTATAACACTGCATTTGTTCTTAGACTGAACTCTGATACTAAAATGCGAAGTAAACACATTTGAAACTGAACTATCTTGGGCCTGGGCTACAATGATGTATCAACACTTTGAAAATGACTTCTCAGGGTCACAAGTTCACAAAAGGTCACACCAAGAAGCTGTGTCAGAGGAAGTTCAGGCTGGACATCAGGAAAAGGTTTTTCACTGAGAGAGAGTGGTCTCTGGAACAGGCTCCCCAGGGAGGCCACAACACCAAGCCTGCCAAAGTTCAAGGAGCATATGGATGATGATCTAAGTCATATGGTTTAGTGTTAGGTAGTCCTGAGAGAACTAGGAATTTCCTTATGGGAAAGGGATCCTTATGGGTCCCTTCCAACTTGAAACAGTCTATGTAAACAATTACCAGTAATACTACAGAATCTAATAGGGAACCACTCAGAGACAGCTACAGATTTCTAGAAGAATCAAGATGGATTCAAGACGGATTTACCTTGTACACCTGTACAGCCTGTATGCACAGGCATCCTACAATCTAAGCATGTTCCTGCTAACCATTTGCACACATCTGACAAGTCCAACACTCCATGTTTCCAAAATATGCTGCAAAGATATGCAAGTTCAGCCAAATTTACTGTCTGAGGCACCTGTGGCAAGAATCAACTATACCACTCTGAGACTGGAACCACACTGGAACAGCACTATACTTGAATAAGATCTTCTGAAACCAAGCTACGCATTCAACACAATCAGTGCTGAATACACTTACCTGTATTTACTGAACATTAAGTATGATCAAAAATGAGGAGCAGCAAATGCTGCTACAGATTAACAAAAGTCTACACAGAGACAAGTTATATGTGACACTCCTGTAACTTCCCCTTTCCTGTTGCTTTGGCACCTGAACTCCCAAGGGAGCAGGACTAGCTGCTTTCAAGCAAGCTCATCAGGTCAGTGAACATGGGTTTTATCTTCAAAAGATCACAGAAGGGTAAGAAAAAGAAATGTTATCATGCTTGCATATGAACCCCCTTCTGCACTTCTCAACAGAAAAACCTTCTTTGGATGTGCTACTCCAGGTTACACTTCAGCTGTCAAGGTACGAGATTCTATGCAAAACCGCTGGGCAAACAACAGTGCATGAAAAACAGAACAGATACTGGCTTAGCAAGACTTTTTCATGGACCCATGAAATCCACAAAACAAAGGCAAGCTATCTCAAACAAAGCACATCCAAGTTGTTTTAGTAGACACAGCAGACATAATGCAAAGCACAAATATCCTTGGGTTTATGTTACTTTTAAAACTTTTGTCTCCAGCACTATTCCCTGCAACAGCACAGGATATGTTAGAAACACAGATATTTTTAACACCAGTCATACATTTGCACCAAAAAATTTAAACAATAAACAAAAATCAGACTCCAACTTACCCTTTACTTTTAGATATCAGCCCAAGAGACTGACAGAGACGGTGAACAAATGCTCTTTCAGTACTAGTGAAAGAAGAAGGAAATTCCATTTCTAGAAAGGTATCAAAAAAAGCAAATTAACTACACAACATGCAGTATCCTTGACATATTAACTCAATGTTACGAGTTTTTCAATCTCCAAATCTATCATACTCTGCCGTGAACAACATAATTACGGTATTTTTAACTATTCTACAACTCGTATCTGCAAGCGAAGTATTCGGGCAGGAAGGGGCTGACGAACTGCTGCTGAACGAATACCGAGCCTGCGGGCTTAGACGTCCGTCACCCCGCTGCAGGCCTTATTCGATGCCGGCCCAGCTCAGGAGTCTACAGCTCCGCCGCCGCCACAGGCCGGGCCGGGCCGGCACACACCTGCCCCACACCGCCTCTTTCCCCTACGGGCAGGCTGCCGCAACGCACCTTTCTCCTCTCCGTACCGGAACCGCTCCAGGGCGAGGTTCACCGCGATCTCCACCTCCTCGTCAACGCGGATATCCTTCAGCCTCTTGCGTCGGCCGCGGCCCGCAGCAGGGCCGGCCGGAGTGGGGGTACCCGAACACCCACCGGCCTGTCGTGGGGAGACGCTACTGGGTCTAGACATGGCCTCAAGACCGGTGGCGACAGCCCAAGGCGAAGCCAGATGGTGTTGCGTAGACTGTAAACTGAACGCGGAGCGCGAAGGAACGGAGCGGCGACAGACGCGTTCCGCACAGCGTCGTGGCGTCACGCGCGGGGCAGGGCGCGCAAGTAGGAGCCTGTAGGTGGAGCAGCGGAAGACAGATCCTGCAAAGTTGAGCGCTCGCGTCCCTGCAGCGCCCGCAGCCCCTTATCTGCCGCCTGCAGCGCTCTCGACCACTCAGAGGCTGTCAGGCCCGCCCGAACTCAGTGCTCTCTGGCCAGCGGCCAAGCTCTGAACTCCTGTACGTCAGCAGCCAAGGTACTTAATGCTACTTCATTATAGCCGTTTTTTTGCGATGTTCAGCGCTGGCATGTCAGAGCACATCACATTTATGATATTATGAAAAGTTAAATTCTTTAGCTTAACAGTGTAAGGATTCCTCCTGCCATCGAATCACAGAATGGGTTGGAAGGGACCTTAAGGTCATATAGTTCCAACCCCCCTGCCACAAGCAGGGACTCGTTCCACTAGACCATGTTGCGCCAAGCCCTGTCCAACCTGGCTTTCAGCACTGCCAGGGATAAGACAGCCACAGCTTCTCTGGACAACCTGTGCCAGTGTCTTGCTGCCCTTGGAGTACAGAATTTTCTTCTTTATATCTAAACTGAATCTTTCCTGTTTAAGTTTAAACCCATTAATTCCCCCTTTCCCCCTTGTCCTATCACTACAGTTCCTGATGAAGGGTCGCTCCCCAGCATCCCTCTAGACCCCCTTCAGATACTGGAAGGCAGCTATGAGGTCTCCACATAGCTTCTCTTTTCCAGGCTGAACAACGCCAATTTTCTCAGCCTGTCTTCATACGGGAGGTGCTACAGGCCCCTTATCATTACTGTGGACCTCCTCTGGACTTGCTCCAACAGCTCCATGTCCTTCTTATGCTGAGGATACCACAACTGCACACAGTACTCCCAATTGGGGTCTCACCAGAACAGAGCAGAGGGGAAGGATCACCTCCCTCAATCTGCCCGTCACATTCCTTTCGATGCAGCCCAGCACACTGTTGGTTTCTGGGCTGTGAGCACACATTAAAACCGAGTCATAATCAGTTTATCATCCATCAATACCCCCAAGTCCTTTTCCGCAGGGCTGCTCTGAATCACTTCTCCACCCAGACTGTAGCTGTGCCTGGGACTGCCCTGACCCAGGTGTAGGACCTTGCACTTGGCCTTGTTGAACTTAATGAAGTTGGCATTGGCCCACCTCTCAAGCATGTCAAGGTCCCTCTGGATGGCATTACTTCCTCCAGTGTGTCAACTGAACCACACAGCTTGGTGTCATCAACAAATTTTCTAAGGGTGCATCAATCCCACTGCCCATATCGCTGACAAAGGATGTTGAACAGGATCAGTCCCAACACCAATCCCTGAGGAACACCATTCATCACTGATCTTCATATGGACATTGAACCATTGACCACAACTCTTTGTGTGTGGCCATCCAGCCAATTCTTTATCCACCGAGTGGTCCATCAAATTCATATCTCTCCGTCTTCCGTAGTATCAACAGTAATAAATGAAAGATCATAACTTGTTCGAAAGAGTCATGTCAGAAATGTTTAATTACAAGCCCAGTTTTGTTAGCAGTTCATGTGTTTCTTAACAGCATCATCTTGCCTTTCTACAAAAAACCCCCATGTGGTTCTGCAAAATTTGTGAGGCCCTATTCTGACCTCAGCATTACACTAGATGTTAATCTGCCTGCAGGAGTTTAAGACAGGAACTCATAAAATACTAGTGAAATAAAGGGAAGCCTGACTCAGTAAACCTGACTCAGTGTTTGAATTTAACACATTGTAAAGATGAGCGAGTACTGGCACACTGAGCATGATTTTTACTATTTGCTTGGGGTTTTTTTGTTTGTTTGTTTTTGGGTTTTTTTTTTTTTTTGCTATCTGCTTGGTGTTCACTATAAATATACCTGCAAACCATTTCAAACAACCAATAAATCATTCTTTCCAAACTGCTGATACAAATTACAGAAGTCAGCATTTGGGCAACAAAATCTTCTGAACACAGAGTAGTTCCATGCTCCAGTGAAGAAGACTTCTTGAGAAGTTGTTGCCTGGGTACTGCATGCAGCAGTGAGTGCGATCTGCACTGAGTGCATGAGAAGAAAGGAGTGAGGGCAGAATAGTGCCCTAAGCCCACTTCTTGGGGCGGCTGTGCAAACTGGTCTTCTGTTTTGGTCAATCTACTTCCAAAAATACTAAGTATGATTCTGCACCACCTTTGGGGTTGCCCTCCAGTTGACTGGCCTGTGGAAGGAGAAGCGGCAACATCCTCTCTGGAGCCCATGGAATCCAAACATACCCACACTAGTGTGGCATAGAGCGTGCCTCATGGTGTGGCAACACAGGTCGAGCTTCCCATTAGTTATGTCTTCTCTGAGGCTTTTGAGAAAAGACCTGTACGTACAGGTCTGTGCCAGCCAGCAAAGGAAGTGTTCTTTTGCATTCAGCCAGGTCTTCAACTAGTGTAACATTTTCTCTTTGATAAAAACAGTGGAAATCTCAGTATTTTCTTCTCTCTTCATAACTTTCTGGATGCTGTGCGCCTTTCCTGCCAGGGACAGTGGAAATGCACTTCAGGAAAGATCGTACTTTCTACTGCACAGTTTGTTCTCTGTTTTTAACTTGGTTGGTTGGTTGGGTTTTGTTGGTTTTTGTTTGTTTACTTTGGTTTGGTTTTGCCATCTGAAATTCAAATTTATGGCTGCAGGAGTGAACTGCCACATAATTCATAGCAGACACCATGATGTGGGGACCTACAGCTTAGTGCAGTGTGAAACAACTTTTTAAAAGTTAGATGTGGATCATGATACAAACCAGCAAACTCAGCTGGTTTTACTGTCTTGGATGCCATACCACACCTAGGATATCAGCTGTTCCTACCAGCTAGGAGGAACTGGTGCAAGTGAAAGAAAATCAAAGTCTGAAACTACTGCACTAGGTTTTCTTGAGACTTGCCTTGAAGATGCAAAAAGTAACTACCACTGATCTCCCATGTTATAAAAACCTAATATTGCCAATCTGTTTTAATTGATTTTTATTATAATTAATATCGAGAGGCAATAAGCAAACAGCGCTGGGTGCGCCGGGGAGTCTCCACTCCACCCGAGATGCACGAGGGGGATTTCTGGGGATAGTCTCTTATACTTTTTGGTCTTGGGTTTCAGCCAGTCCTGTTGTCTTCTTTTCCCGGGCTTCTTGGGTTTCAGCCAATCCTGTCGTCTTCTTTTCCTGGGCTTCTCCACCTGTTGCTGGGGTCTTGTCTCCAGGTGAAGAAGTATCTTAGAAAAGTTACAAAACATCTTGGTAATGCATTAATAGGAAGATGTCTATCACAAGTCTGACCGCCATCTTAGCCCCCATAAATTCTACTCCTTATGTGTTTATTTGTTCAGCGCACAGATTTTACAACGTTCTGTAACAGGACATATCTCTAAGTTACCTACCCCCCCCCCCCCCTTTTCTAAGAACATTCATGCAATTTAAACAATGAACAAAACATTTCTTTGCACAATACTGCGGTTGACCCAGGGGAATTATTCCCTTGTTTCTTCTTCCTCCTCACTGTGGTATTGACAGGGACACTTATCATACCCTTTGCACATAGCACAAGGATCACAAGGGATTCCATCTCCACACAAAGTGCAATGATCACTAGGACCCCTGAGCTGCTGACACGAATCACTCTGATGTAACTCACACCCAGAAGGGGAAAAGCTAGCAGGAAGAACTCAGGTCATTAGCAAAGAGAGTATAAGGAATGGATTAATTCCTGATCCACAAAGAAAGCTACTGCATGAAGTATGCATGCACAATGAGAGCAAAATATAAAAGTGCCAACTAGGAAATTTAGCTAGATTAGAGAAGATGTGGGAAATCAGTTTAAAAAAAAAGAAAAAGGTAAGAACTGGGTGACTGTGAGGCTTGGCAGATTGCATCAGGATGAAGGGAGGTTATTCTTGGAAATTCTCATTGCTGTGGTTTGGATTCAATCTTGTTACATTGGTATTGGTGGCTTTGCCAGGAAATGCTGGTTTAGGACTCTGTATGGTTAAAAATTTTAATTCTTAATAGGAAGTGTGCGCTGCATTTGCAGAGTGTGTGCAAGAATTTCTGTGTGTGGCATTGAACAGCTAGTCTATGGGATCTGGCCAAAGAAAATGGGCTTGTGACTGCCCAGCTCATCCAACCTTTAAGTAAAAAAAACAGCTGGGGTAAACACCCCTCTCACACATGAGCAGCCTCCTATACAGGACTGAGAAAAGGCACTTGCTGAGACTGAGAGTGAGACTATTGTAGATCAAAAGATGGAACATGGTGTAAACCTTCAAGGATTACACAATATAGTCTGAAAGAAGGATACTTGTAATATTCTCACCTTTCATTGTCTTGAAAGAGTATGGAAGTGTGTTTGCTTCATACTCCAGTGCTCTGGTCATCCAGAAAGAACCAGCATGAGCAACCCGATTTGGAAAACTGCAGAGACTGAGTATGAGCGTGAGTGTGCACATGCTTCCACTTGCAAGTAATTTTAGTTAATAGAACACCATAGAAACTCTTTGTCTTGTAATGACTTACTTAATCAAGATATCATAAATATTAAGTTAGAATTATTGCCATCTGTGATTATACTTGAAAGGGACTGTGCAACAATATGTGTGATTAATTCTGCTTACTTTACATATTCATGAGCCATTGTCAGTAACAAGGAAGATCAAGTTGTTATGTGGGAAGAAGCTGTCTTCAAAGACAGAAGTAGTAGGGGAAGGATAATATCTGATACTATGAGAGAAATGCATGCCCATAATAACAAGTTGGTTTTTTTTCCCGTATACATAAATAGGCTAGGAAAAACTTGGCTGACCTTATTAATCACGGGATGATGGAGTAATAACTGTAATGCTACTACCAAACAGGCAAATGCTCTTTCTAGGCCTCCTCAAAATAGGTATTTCCAGTAGAGAGAAAAGATGTTGCCAGTGATGCTGTTGGTGTATCAGTTCTTTTTACATGAATAAGGAGAAGAGACTTATTAAAACTTCATTAGGTGTTGAAAAGGGTGCCAAGGATATAAAAGGAAATTAATTTTTTTCATCTGGCAACATTAAGACTGCAAAGCAAATTACTTTTCTCTAAATGCAAAGAGACAGACGGGGATAGGTGTGAGTCATGAGAAAGTTTAGAGCACTATCTGATGATCAACTGCTGAAGCAGAAAGCCAAATTATGTACTTTTGAGGTGAAATTTGATTAGTGGAAAGGAACTGGATGTCAGGAGGGGCTGGTTGCCCGGGAATGCTCCTATCATGATTGCAATCATGGGCCTATTGAAGATGTTGGGGGTTGCTGTGGTTTGCCTAGAACTGGCTTCCACAGGCCAGTCGTGAAACAGGCATCCTGAGACAGAGGACCTGTCCCACTACAGAAGGAGAGATACCCGGACCATCGGACTGAGGTTTGCCCAGCACTTGGTGTCTGGACGCCAGTACCCTAATGATGAGGCAGCTGTCCCTGACGTGGCCAAGCCACTCTCTCACGGTGCCGCCCTGGCTTCTGGCACCAGCATTGAGGACGGCGGGAAGGGGGGGCAAGGAGGAGGCAGGATGGCGGCGGCCAACGGAGGGGAGCGCGCAGCAATCCCTGTACTTATTCGCTGTGCCTAGGCGTTCAGGGGTAGCAGCGTGGCTCCCAGGGGTCCCGCCGCTGTGGGAGGTGGGGCTCCATCGCGCCCGGCCCAGCCCCTCCGCGTCCCCGCCCCCCCGCGCGGTTGGGCTCTGCTGCGGCGTTGTGCTGCTGGCTGTGCTCTGCGGGCGCTTTGGGACCGAGAATCTCAGGCAGTCTCGCCTCCCACTGCGTCCCCTCCGGAGCCGCTGGGGCGCATGATGGCTGCGGCAGCTGTTGCGGAGGTGAGCAGCGCCAGCAGTAGCAGCAGCGATACCTCTAGTGCGGGCGAGGAGGAGAGGATGAGGCGGCTCTTCCAGACCTGCGACGGCGATGGGGATGGCTTCATCAGCAGGTAGCGACAGCGGGAGGAGGTTCTTTGCGGCACTGGTACGGAGCTGTCCCGTCCTTCCCCCTCCTTGCGCCTCCCTCCCTGACCGCCCGTGAAGCCGCTTCTCAACTTGTCGGCGAGTTTGGGGCAGTTCGCGGAGCGCAGATTCTGCCGACCGGTGGCTCCCGGAGCGAGGGGCTGAGAGCAGGGCTGCGGCGGTGCTTCCGCACCGAGAACTCCAGAGGCGCGTAGGGGAGGCAGGACAGGCACCGCCGAGAGCACTTAACACTTCTGAGGATCTGGAGAATCACGCATTCTTAAGCTTGGCGATGTGCCTGACTTCATGCATTAGGCAGGTGTTTTTTGCAAGAAAACAAAGCTGGTCACAGGTAATCTAGGAGACACCTCGTACTGATCTACCAAATCGTCTGTTTCTTTAATGTTTTCAGCAATATCCTCGTTACACAATCCATTTTAAATTCCTTTGCTGGTCCCCGTTTAGTTTTTATATTGTGATCCGGGCTGACAGGTTTTGAAGGGGAAAGTGGTGAGTGTGTAATTTGCAGTAGGTAGTTGGAAATAATGAAGTGTTCATGTGTCTGGAAGTACTGGCAGTGTGTTTTTATCAGGACTAGGTTTTGTTGGAAGGGTATTTCTGGAGCTATCCGCTGCTCTCACACCACATCTTAAAAATACTGAACTAAAGGCAAGATTTGTCACAGGTGGTGGGAACTTGCATTTTCAAAATTAAATTTATGCTAGTTGCATTGGTAAGTACTTCTAGATAGCTGAGTCAGGGAATTTCTGTCATCTAACCTGAAACCTAAGAATATGACCCTGCTAAAAGGGTAAGTAAACTTCAGTCCCCACTGTCATCTCTTTGGAGCCAGAAAATTGTTGAAAATTTGTATCAGCTGGCAGTCACTTTAAAAATTAAGGGTCATGATATTTCTTATCTAAACAGGTCTCCAAACTTTTCCTGTCTAGTGACTATTTTGGCAGTGTATTTCAGAAATGTAAACTCTGTAAATGCATGCTTTCTATTTGTTTACTGTCTTCATGGAAATTACTCTGATGTATGAAAACAGGATGTTCACTGAAAGTGTACAGTGCCTCCTCAGGCACACTTGCTTGTTTGTATTGTGATGCTTTTCTGCAGTGTAAACTTAATAGACTTCTGTATATTTATAATTCAAAGATCTTGCTGAGGGAATGCTAATGCTTTAGTGCTTGAGAGATGCTGCCATGACACATGCCACTCCTTTCTGGTTGACTTTTTTTGCCTAAGTTTTGTTCCCAATTTGTACTCTGTGTATTTCAAAATGCGTGTTTCTGAATGTTGGTTGAACAACACTGCTGAAAGTTTTGAAAGCTCCAGGACATATCTGAGGAGGGACATTGGATTCAACAGGTTGAAAGTTCTTCAAGAGATAGTCCATTGTTGAAGGTTCTAATAATTTCCTTCAGAAAAGGATATGTGCCTTCAAGGCATGGCATTGCATGGCAAAGCATGATCAAGCTGGCATGGGTTTGATCAGAGAAGGTAGTGTTACTGCCTTCCCTTAGATTTCCTATTTGTGGGAAAGTAGTGAGTGAATATTTAACAAATGATTTTTGACATGACAGGGAGTCATTTACTTTTTTCGACTTCATTAGTTGTCTTAGGTAATCGGTCTTGCAAATGAAATGCGTTCCTTGCTTTGGGTAGTGTCTCAGCTTCCCTCATGATCTATTTTATGGCAATGGCTTATGCAGGAGCAGGCTTGCCCAGTGGTTTTTGGGTATATTTGCAGTATGTACCACTGCTGTCGTAGAGATAGCTCTTTCTGATTCATGAAAATACAGCATCCCTATTAAAAGTATAGCAACTGGAATTTTGTTGCTTACAGTCCTAGTGTTTAGGTAATTGCATTTTGTTAATAATGACAAAAAGTTATACTTGCTTTCACACTGAACTTATGTAATTCTGTGCATACTGTTTATCTTGCTTCTGCTTTTTATTTCTTTTACAGGCCAGTTGCTGGTTTTGCTGTTCCCGCATGCCCTTCTTCCTTGGACTTTCCTTTGCTCATCCTTGACAGACAGCAGTTTGTTGCCTTCCTTGTAGCTGCAGTGGAGATGACAGGCTGACTTCTGCACCTTACTGTACCTTCTACAGCAAGTTAATCATTGCAATAAATGCTTGAGGAGCTATAAAGAGCTGTATAAATAGTTGAAAGCAGAGAAGCCAACACTGTAAAATCCTCTGCTTCCTTGTGGACTTTTGTTAGGTTGAGCCTCTTTTTCAGAACTTACTTATTTTCAATATAATGGGGTTGAAATTTGCAGTTTTGCAGCTGTTACTCAGCATAAGTTTTTGTATCTTTACAAATGAGTATCCTCTATCTTCTGCTTGCAGGGCGAAAGCTTGGTTAGTCATTTACTTGCCTAACACATGTAGCAGTTCACTCATAAGATCTCTTTCTTTCCAATTCCAGAGATGGTATGGAAGAGAAGATCTTTATTTTTGCAGCAAAGGCAGGCATTTTATAAGTATGTTTATTTAGTTCATGTTGCATGGGGAGAAGAGCTATTTGCATTCCTAATGAGGTAACATGGTGTCTCAGCTGTGGAAATGCTTTGTTGTGCATCAAACCGTAAAACTCTTCAAATAATAGCATGGAAGTAAAGGCACAGATGGAAAGGAGGAGCAAGTCCTGAGATACTGATTTACTTTCAGACTATAAATAGCTGGGATGATATGAAGGGGCCCTATAAGGATGCTGTGGAGGGACTCTTCATTAGGGACTGTAGTGATAGGACAAGGGGTAACGGGTTCAAACGTAAACAGGGGAAGTTTACAGTGTTCAAGGCCAGGTTGGACAGAGCCTTGGGTGGCATGGTTTAGTGTGAGGTGTCCCTGCCCATAGAATGGGGGTTGGAACTAGATGACCTTAAGGTCCTTTCCAACCCTACCTATTCTATGATTCTATGAAAATGATAAAGTGCAATTAAGTGAGTACCATTGGTGTTATAAACCAGAAGCAGCTGAATGATGGGGTATGAAGCGTTAAGCCTGTGTCTCTGAGGAACTGTTGTGGTTTAAACCCAAAAACCACGCAGTCGTTTGCTCACCCCGCCCTCCCCTGCCCTTCCTCCCTCTGCTCCCAAAGGGATGGGGAGGACAATCAAAAGAATGTAACTCCCATGGGTTGAGATAAGAACAGTCCAGTAACTAAGGTATAACACAAACTACTACTGCTACCACCAATAATAATAATGACAAAGGAAATAACAAGGGAAGCGAATACAACCGCTCACCACCCACCAACCGATACCCAGTCTGACCCGAGCAGTGATCTAGCCTTTCTGGGTAACTCCCCCCACTTTATATACTGAACATGACATGCTGTGGTATGGAGTCATTTTGGCTAGTTTGGGTGAGGTGTCCTGTCTCTGCTTCCTCCTGGCTTCCCCTCCTCCCTGGCAGTGCATGAGACTCAGAAAGTCCTTGGTCAGAGTAAACATTACTGAGCAGCAACTAAAAATATTGGTGTTATCAGCGCTGTTCCCAGGCTGAAAGCCAAAAACACAGCACTGCTACTGCTGAACCCAGGACAGCATCATGTTTGACATGTGTACATTGACATTTTACAACATCTAACTAGACAAAAGTACTAAGAAAACGTTAAAGTTTTAGCTTGCCAGTTTGTACTTTAATGGCTTTTGCTTCTTTGGGGATTACTATTAGTTATTTTAACATCTTGCAGGTGCTTGGCATTCTTCTTGTACTTCAACAGTGAGAGGTAACTTTACAACCATAAACCAAAACAGAAACCCAAACAAATGCAAAGCAGTCTACTATTAAGGATGGATTCTGGATACTTGAAATCAACAGGATCAGCCTTGCTAGAAGCAAAAGGCAACCTTAAACACTGTTTACAGCAGAACTTTGCTTTTGCAGCTGAAGGTGGATTGTGTTGTTTTAACAAAAAGCTGTTAACTGAAAAAACACTCATTGCTTTCGTTTTGCTTTTTATTCTGTTTGCTTTGAAAAGCTTCAGAATCTGATCTTCCAGTTAAAAATATGTTAAGTTTCAGAGGGTTTGTAGATTGGGAGGGCACACCCTGTTTGTGTGGTGTGTTGTTTTGTTTTTTTTTTATTTGCTTGTTTGTTGTTTTTTTTTAAGGTCAAAATAGGTGGGCTGAGTTTATGTCTGTTAGGAAAGTGAGAGCATGCTCTTTTATTTAGAGGTGGTGGGCTAGATTAATGTCGTCTTTGGGAACTTAATTGCCTTGTAGCTTTATCATATGTGGATTGTACTGAAGTTCCATTTAGCATATCAAGAATTTAATCTTTACTGCAAAAGTCACTAAATAGCTTTCCAGATTACTCTAACACTGTAAGGTCCAAATAAGGTAACTATGAATTTATAGGAAACTTTGGTTAAAAAAAAAAAAAAAAAAAAGTACGAGCTATGAAGGTAAGGGGTGAATAAAATATTAATTTTCTTATTAAGTTACAGATGTGCTAGTTTTCTGATTTTAACTTTAAAACGGGTAAGTAATTTCTAGTGTCATGAAGTAAAAAGATAAAGCTAGTGTTTAATTCAGAGGGAGAATTGTTATCATAGCAATAATAATGGAATGATGTTGTTTGTAGAGTTTCTTTGAAAATACTTTCTTCCGTGTACACAGATTTTTTTACACCGGGGTCAATGTCTTACAGAAAATCTCTGGTAAAAGTATTTAAAAATCTGTAAGCCTACTGATTTTGTACTGAGCTTATACAACCTGTTGAAAGGACGTGAAAGAGTGCCTCCTTCTATAACCTTTCTCAGTAGCAGTTAAGGGGAACTTGTTGGATTTGATCTCATATCTATGTAGTTTTAAGTGGTACATAGCTTTGGGAACTTGAAACCTTTTCAAGGACAAGCTGATACTTCCCTTGTCATTAGGCTGCAGTAGTAGGGTGTTCCCAGCATTCTTGCTGAGCATGTTTTGGCTTAGTATATGCGTCATAGCAGGTTAGTGATTGAGGCTGA